GCTTCCACTCATTCTTTGATGACACATTCTGAGGGTAACTAGTGTTTGTTGACTACCTACAGTCTGGGCAGTTTTTGTCCCAGTTTAGTCTGCCTGCCGACATAATCAAAGATTCGACCCTTTTCTTTTTTTAATGGGTAATTGCCACTCCTACTGTATAAGGAGTTCCTGAAGGAACTGAGTGGAATCGAAGGGCTCTCTGGTCCAGAAGCCCCATCAGTAACACTCTTCCTGCCTGGGCCTGCTTCCCTGAAGGCAAGATGCACTTGATGCTTGTGTCCATTCCTTCTGAGCCACTCATTCAACAAAAATGTGTTAAGCATCTACTCCACGTCAGGTAGAGTGATTATGGGGATAGATCAGAAATCAGAGAGAATGGGTTCCTACCTACCCTCAGGGAGCTCAGTCCAGCAGGGACATGAGGTCACCTCCAGACAATGGCAGCCTCAAGCAGTGCTACCTAACAAAGTTAAAGCAAGCTGCATGTGCAGTTTTTAATTTTACATAAAACTGGTAAAATCAATAACATGTAGCCCAAATGTAGTCAAAATACTACTCCAAGTTGTAATGGAAATATATTTTTCACTGCTTCGGATTTACAATTGAAGCTAATTAACAAATAGTCATTTGTGTCATGGGTCATAGTAGCAAAAGGTTGAAAACTGCCCAATATTCATTAATAGAAATTTGGATAAATAAATGATAGTTCAGTTACACAGTGGAATGCCCTGCAGCTGGCAAGTTGAAAAACAAAGCAGTCTCATTTATTAATATATTAATATATATTCATGTTAATAATATGAGCTCTAGATCAAGAGAAAATATGCAAAACATTGTATAATATACAATCGTGTACAAGAAAATGATTTTTTTACATATATACTTGTGTAAGTACAGGACACTTGTAGAAAGATACAGAAAAGACACAACCAGGATTACTTTTGTGAAAGGCAAACAGGACAGGTGGTCAAGTGTAAAAAGGTAACTGAGTTTTCTTTTCTTTAAATGTTCCTTGTAAGTTTTAAGTATTTTTTACCACATTCATCAAAAAAATTTATTTAATTAGGAGGGGATAATAACTAAGTCCTACAATCATCGTAACAAAACATACGCAAAATGCCTTGTTACCACCTTTATGGCCTTATTGGTCCTAGATGCTAGCATTCCCAGGGATCCTAGTGAACCCTTCTACCCATTGGCATCAGCAGGCCTGTTAAGGTGTGTTGTCAGTCTGGAAAATTGGTTGGTTTTTTTTTTCCTCACAAAGAAAGTTAAGTGCATTCCAGCCCTATCTGTGAAGTTGCCAAAAGGCCAGAGTAGTGCTCCTAGTCCCTGGGGACAAAGTTGGGCTCCTTATCAGTAATCTCATTCAAAGAACTGCTAAACCAAGGTTGCTTCTCTGACTTTACAGTCAACTAAATTAGGCCCTTCTGGTGCTAGTTGGACTTTCAACACTCAAATGTGAACCTTCCCTACAAGGCTATGTCATCTATGCAGGACCCTACTCAAAGTGTAGAGCATGTATCACCCTCATTTCAGGTGGTTAGGTATTGTTATGTGTACACATAGTACTTTATATTTTTCCTTCTTAAAACTGAATCACAAGAGTAGGGCATGATGGCACATGCCTGTAATTCTAGCTACTCGAGAGGCTGAGATAGGAGGATCCACTTGCACTCACAAGTTTGAGACCAGCCTGGGCAACATAGTGAAACACCATAACAACAACAAAACAAAACCTAATAAAATGAATCACTAGTGTAATAAGTTTGAAAAAATTTAAAGTTGCAAAAAAGATCAAAGAATAACTCCTCGTTTAGAATTTCCCATTGTGATCAATTTTATGACTACTCTTTTAATGTCTGCCTTCCCTGCTAAACTGTAAACTGGAAGCCTACCTATATCCCCTCATAAGTCTATGAATGGACACAAGGGGCCTTTGACTGACCCAGAGTGGGCCCAGAGGCCTGACAGTGTCATGCAATGCTCCCTAGAGCCAATTCTATTACTAGGCAGGGCTCATGGGACATTTGCTTTCCCTTAAACACTGTTCCTTTGGTTGGACTGTAGCGAAGAAAAAGGAAATAGATCCAGTGTCAATACCTAGTCACAGATCTGGTTTTTCTCTAGAGTCAGCAGGACATACTACACCTTGGCCCCAGATACCCTCTCCCTTAAATTGACCACAGGCCTTGAATTGTCCCATTAGATTATATCTGAGTTATTAAGATATTGAATAGGCTGGTGGAGTCATTGAAGCAGTATAGCACCTACCTAGCAAGTGTGAGGCCCTGAGTTCAAATCTCAGTACCACACACAAAAAAAAACCAAACATTGAATAGTCAAGACCACTGGAATTCAGTCATCTGGAGCTCACTCCAGACTTGCTTTTAATGACAGGAACTGGAATTAGGGAGTGGAATGGGGGTGGATTTTTAGGAGAGAGGCTTCCTTTGAGGATAACCTGTGGAAACTGGTCTTAAGGATGGAAGAGGGTGGCAAGAAACAAACACAGAAGTTTAGGGTTTTTAGACCCTCTTTCACTCTCTTCCTAGCAATGTTTCCCCAAATGACCCCAAACACATGCTTTTGTAGGCTGGTTATGAGAAGCAGGACTCAGTGGAGATGTCTGGAAAAATGGGAACTGATGGCAGTGACTGCACATTTCTACAAATGACTACTCCCAGCAGCTCTGGGGCCTCAAGGAGCTAGCGCAATGATGCCCGTGGCTCACATGGGAGACTGAGACTGGATCATGGTTCCAGGCCAGACTGGGCAAAAAAGTTCGTGAGACTCTGTCTCAAAGGAAAAAAAGCTGGGTGTGGTGGCGGTGCTTGCCTGTCATTTCAGCAATGGTGGGAGCTTAAAATAGAAGGATCACAGTCCAGGTCAGCTGAACAAAAAGCAAGACCCTAAATCCAAAATAACCAGAGCAAAAAAGGCTAGAGGTGGGGTTCAAGTGATAGACTGCCTCACAAGCCCCAAATTTAAATCCCAGGACCCCCCAAAAAGAAAAAAACAAAAAAGGAGGAGCAAGTAGAGTAAATCTGAGTTTCTGGCCCATAGGGCTGTCCAGTGATGTGCAGGATTTGAAGCAAGTCACACTGGCCTTTCCCAGATGACCCAAATGCACAGCAAGTGCAAGGTTGACAGGGAACAAGATGGAAAAAGATAATGCAGGAGCACAGCATGCTGTCTGGGAAAGTGAAAGACCGGATGCTGGTGTCCAAAGCTTGTGCCCGGTTCCCGTCGTGAGTGGACCTAAGGGTCAGAGTGCTTCCTGTCAGCAGCTTCAGCTGGCAAAACTGTGGATTGGCTCTTTGTCTTTAGTCTTCCCTGCATAGCCTCGAATGCATCCTTTCAAGTTCTTGTGTCTCACATGTACAATGAAGATAAAGATACCTGCCTCTCAGGATTCTTTCCAGAACTCAGGAAGTAACTGATGTGGAAACTTCCTTGTGGGCTCTAACCTACTCTATACACATGCAAAATGATGGTGATAAGTTTTGCCTGATGCTTCTCCCCAAACCGAGTTATCAAGTTTCTGTGACAACACACACACACCGGTGGCTAGATACTGTTGGCTGACTGGGGACTTCAACAGCCCTTTAAAACAGTGGTCTCACACTTTAGTGTGGCTAAGATCGGCTGGAGAGTGTCTTAAAATCCAGATTGTTGGGCCCTGTCCTCAGAGTTTCCAATTAGTAGGTATGGGGTTTGGCCCAATAATTTGCATTTGTAACAAGTTCCCAGGGGATGCTGATGGTACTGAGCTGAGGAACATAGCTAGGGAACCATTTCTCTGAACTAATACTGTTTTCCTTCATCTAGAAGTCAAAGTTGGCCTCCATTGCCCTCTGCTGGCCAGAGTATAAATTTAGCTGCTTGTTTCCAGGGCAACTGAAAAGTAGGAGAGAAAGGGGAAGGAGGAAGAGGAGCAGGGGGAGGGGGAAAGGGAAGGGGTAAGGGAAGAAAAGGGAAGACATAGAGTGGCCACCACCTGAGACCAGGTCAGCCTGAAACCAGCAATCATCGTTTGCTGATTCAGAGTATACAAGGGTTTTCACGTGAATTACCCCATTTGATATTTCCAATAATCCTATGAAGTAGGCAAGACTGGCATTTTCATTTTTCAACTGAGGAAAAACAAGCCTGTTGTCGCACCAGTAATGACAAACTGCTTAACAGAGGGGTGTTAAAAAAAGATTTATTCACAATCCAACCAGGAAAAATTGAAGTCTGTCCTCATGATGATCCTAATGAGGAAGTGGACTATGAATGGCAGATTGTCTCCTATAAAGCTATCTGATCCCACAAGCCTGGGGAAGCCTGCAAAGCTCAAGGGCTAGGTCCTTCCTCCAGCCAGAGGTGCTATGTGGGTGCCTCTTAGCTCTACTTTCTATTTCAGTATTCATACTTGAATGTCAATAGACTCCTCTAGGGAGCTGGTTTCTCCCTAAGGGAGTAACAAGTGGGGGCTCCTGGGTCTCACCTCCATAGCTCAGACTCAGTAGGTCTAGACAGGTGTCCAGGAACCTGCAGTTGAAAGTATCCCCTCCCAAGAATTCTGGTGGAGGTCCAGGAGCCACACTTTGAAAGCCCCCTAGTCTTCATAAAATGCTTTCTTGCAAAGAATTACTTGCTTGTGAGGGTATTCTTTTTCAACCTTTAAGTTTCTCAGCTTCCCTCAGCCATAATATCCTAGAGAAAAATGCTAAGATTCCATCTCCTGACTCCTTTATTTACCCTCTCCAAGCTCCAGTTTTCTCATCTGTAAAATAATACAATAGCTACACCACTAGGCTGAAGTGAGGATTAAATGAAAGGATATGTCTTGTGCGTAATTCTGGACATTCACAAGGTATTCAATAAACATGAGCTCATGGTTCTTTTCCTCTGATTCCTAGATCCTTGAAAAGTAACCATGGTTAAGTACCCTTCTTTTGGATTCCCACAGGTTTTTAAAAACGGTCCTGAGGAGGACCAGGGGAAAATCAGTGATGTCTTCCCGCAGACTCATTCCCATGTGGAAAGATTTTAAACACTACGTAAATGACATCATAAGTAAAAGCAAGGTAATGTATACGTAGGACATAAACATGTCATCGGTTGTCCTCTGTTTTACAGTAGTAAGTACTTCAGAAGAGTCATAATTGATTGTCCATGAATTCAAGAAGAAATCAGCATAGACCACTAAGACAACTGTCACCATAGTAGGAAGTGGGCCTGACTTCAAGTCCATAGACCTTTTACAAGGACACTCTGATAGTATTGTCAGAGGAACCAATGCCCTAGGAAGAGAGATTTCCTAAAAGAGAAGGGAAAAGGTACCACCAGAGAGAACATTTGCCAGCCTCACTTTTGCTAATGGCTGGCTCTGTGCAAATGAACCAGGGTGCATGTTTCATAGCACATGTTCTCTCACTATGGAATAATGCATACTGTATATGTGCTATTCCTCAGTCAAATTTGAAGGCCAAATAAGGGGTCCTAAAAGTCTTACTTCTGCAGTTTTAATCTTCAATAACTAGAATGACACTGGCTTTTGGGGCACTTTTGGGGGCACTTTTGGGGGCACTGCTGTATTATATGTGGCTATAAGGAAATGTACTCATCTAGGTAATTTGTTAAAAGTTATGTCTTTTATGATCCACGTACTTTTTAGACAAAGAGAACCTGTTAGAGGACAGGTACAGTTAATTTCACTTTGGGAAGAACATCATTTTCTCCGTGCTTACAGTATGATATATTTCCCTGTAGGAGTTAAAAAGGTTCAGGTCCCCATGTGTTGGGAGGTTTGTTACAAGCATGTAAAGTGTGACACATGGTGCATGTGTGGATGTTACAGGAGTTAGGAGGGATAGGAGGCATGATCTGGGGAGTTGCTTAATCTTGATTTTTTTGAGAATATGTTTAGTGTTATGTATACTCTGGCCTCTCAGTTTATGACATGCCTCTCCCTAGGAATCTAGTGACCAAAAGTGTGACATAGTTGTGCTGAGCGATCGGTCCCAGATACTGTTCAAGGACTCTCACTATCCTCAAAATATGCCACCTATATGCCATTACTTCAGTGATGCCCACTTTTTTGCCTCCCTTTCCTGGGTGACATCCTATACAAAGGAAATACAGGTAAAACTGCTTTTCTTCTCTTTTTTATTTTTATTTATTTTATTTTTTGGCAGTACTGGGGCTTGAACTCATGGCCTTGTATTTGCTTGGCAGCACTCTTACCGCTTGAGCCACTCCACCAGCCCCTTCCCTTTTATAGCCCATAATCCAAGAGCCATGCATGTACAGCTTCCAACCCAGATTGACAAGGGAATGAATGAATATGATCTTGATCCAGAATTCTCCACTAATCCTCTCTCCAACTTCAGACTCCATGTTGAACAGACTTTATGGTTCCCCTAAAGTAAGGTAAGGTTAGGGAAACAGTCCTAGGTGTCCCTCCTCTACCCTATTCCACACACACTTCCATCACCAGGGAGTAAAATCACACCAGTCTTCCAATTCCTCCTTAGCAAAAGTATAGGGAAGGGCTGGTGAAGTGGCTCATGCAGTAAGAGTACCTGCCTAGCAAGCTTGAGGCCCTGAGTTCAAACCCCAGTACCACAAAAAACAAACAAACAAACAAAAAACAGAGAAAAGTAGATGAATATTTGGTCCTTTACTCCGTCTTACTCTCTTCTAGGCTGTAGTCTGGATGAAGAGCAAATCTGAGGACATGGTTGAGAAGAGCACTTTTGCCATGAATGAGCGGCTGCCAGCTATCCAGTCAATGGTCCATGCAGGTTCCTTTCACATCCTCGTGGTCTACTGTGGTGACCTCCTCCTGCGGCTCTTTGGGGACCACTTTCGGGCATTCAAATCCACAGGCACAGTGCCCTGCCGCTTCCATATCAGCTGCCTCTGCTATGATCCAGTAATGAAGATGCTTCTGTCTGGCAATCTGGGGGGAATAGTCACCTGGGTTATTGAGCGAAGTGGCACAGGCCTCCAAATAGCTCACACGTTTCCCATGTCAGGTGAAGAGCTTGTCCAGGACATCATTCTGAATGGTCCCAATGGCTCCTTCCTAGCCCTGTGTGAGACAGGGGTGAGGGTCCTTGAGCGCCAGGGCCAGGGCCAGGGCCAGCTGGAAGAGGTGAAGAAGTTCACAGCCACTGGAAGTGGCTCCTCTATCACCTGCTGCTTCACCTGTTTTGATCAGGGCTTTCTCTATGCTGGAAACAAGGTGGGAGAAATCCACGTATGGAGCCTCAAACAAAGCCATCCTCTCCACAGTTTCAAGGCCCATTCCTTAATAGTGGTGTGTATCCGCAGCCGGCCAGAGGCCCATACCCTGCTAACAGCTGGCAAGGAAGGTTTGATCAAAGAGTGGAACCTCACTTCAGGGAACTTGCTTCGGCGACTAGAACTTAATGAGCAGCTGTACTGCCTCCAGTTTATTGATGACACTACTTTCTTCTGTCAAACTACGCATAGTTTTTCCTTGCGCCGTCTACCCTGCTTCTATAGCCTCTTCAATATCTGTGGTTCTGCTCCCCAGCAGGTGCGTCGGATCCGCTGTGGAGATAACTGGTTCCGGATCCTGTGTGCTACAGAGGATGGCCTGTTGCGCTTTGTATCTCCAATAACAGGGGATCTTCTGGTTGTCACCTGGCCCTCCTTAATCCTGGACAAGGCTGTGGATTGGGCCTATGACCCAAGTAAAGAGGAGCTCTTTGTAGCAACAGGCACCTCAGAGGTGCTGGTGTTTGACACAACCCGCTGCCCTTGCCCAGCCAAGTATTTAGTATGCACCTCACCAGATTCTCGGGACTTTGTACAATGCCTAGCTTACGGGCATTTCCACCTGGGCCGGGGGCTAGAAGGACTGATGTTCTTGGGACACCAGAGTGGGGTGATAAGAGTGCTTTCCCAGCATAGCTGTGCCCGAGTTGAGAAATTCATGCACTTTGGGGCTGTACTGGCACTCTCTACACTACCATCAGGACTTCTGAGTGGCCGAGAAAACTCTTTGCTCTGTTCCTATGGAATGGATGACTACATACACCTGTCAGAAGCTGTGCTTGATGGAATCAGAGTACAACTTCGGCCCCTAGCCAGCATTCTCAGTAGCTGTCACCTAAAACACCTGGTACTCTTGCCCAAATCTGTGGGTGCCATTACAGACACTAGCTGCCTGCGTCTCTGGAAGTTTCATGATTTTCTGTCTTTTGGGTCACAGGAAGGCTCAAAGTTTGTAGAAACATTACCTCTACACAAGTGTACCATTATATCCTTTGATGTCTGCTTGCCCTTGAGTCTTTTCGTCACAGGTGGTTCTGATGGTTCTGTCCGGATCTGGGACTTCCATGGTAGACTCATAGCTATGCTGGACTCATCACTGCACTTTGGCCCACTCTGCTTTGCAAATGACAGGGGTGACCTGCTTGTAACTTTTAACCAGAGTCTTTACCTGGTGTCCTGCTTAAAACTGCTTCCCCCCACCATGCTGTGTAACCTATACTTTATGAGTCTAACAGATGAAGTTCTAGAAGCCCCTAAGCCATTTATACCAAGCTTCTTCTTCTCCTTTGAGACCATATTCGTGCCCAAGTATCGCTACCAAGGTCTAAGGAAACAGGAATTAGTGGGACTGGAGGCCCTTGTCAATAAACGGGCCATTGCCTTTGACCATTCTGTGCCACATGTCATAGAAGATGAGGATGGGACCTCTGTGTTACTGAATACTCCTCGACATTCTTTGGAGAGGGCAGGAACTGACCAGATGCAAATGAGCAGACCTTACCAACCCAAGTATGTAGTTCCTCCCCAGTTAGAATTGACTAGCTGGGATGGACTCAACCCCTATCAGATATTGCGATGCTATTTTGGTCATGGACGGGAATGGTTTTTTGCTCCTGATTGCTATATCCCCAACTCAGTGATTCGTGCCCGTCTTTGGCCAGAGGGAAGCCCAATATACCTACAGTGCAGTCTACACTCACCACAGCGGGAATTGGAATGGGAGAAGTCTCAACCATTCTTCTTCTGGCACAGGAAAGGTGTAAGTGATGCAGAACATTATTCAGAAGAGAAAGAGGATGAACACTTCCTGGAAATGAGATTATCCCAGGATATGACCTACAATGTTCTTACAGATGCAACAAGTCGCAGTTGGCTGGGAAAGAGAATGAGTGAAATAGCTGTTACTAGCCTGATTGAAACAATCCTTAATGTTATGATTCATGCTAACCCACTGAAGTACCAATGCTGCATTGGTGCACTAGGGCAAATCTTTGCCTCTTATCAGGTGTCTCCAGCCCTGCGCTCTGAGACAGCCCATCGTTTGCTGGATGATACAACTAATTCCAACCCACAAATCCGAGAACTAGCCTGGGAAGGGCTGAAGCGTCTAGGAATGATCACTCATCTTTTTGCCTTGCCTCTGGCCCAAGGATTAATGGATAAGGACCAAAGAGTGAGGAATAAGGCCCTAGACCTCATGGCTGAAATTGGAATCCACTGTAAGACTTCACTCTTAAACTTGCTCCAGAAACAAGATACTTTCCGGGATATGCAGTAAGTTGTTTGTGCCTTCCTCAATTCTTTACCACATGCTAATTTTCTTCTCCCCCTTCCCCATTTTCCTTTCCCTTTCTTTGTTATCTCTTCATCCCTGTACATTAGCTCTCCATGATCTTCTCTTTCATACGTTTTCTATTTCTACACTATCCTTGACAATCCTGACTACTACTTACTTCTTTCTCCATCTCTTTGCCTATGCCTGTCTGTCCCTTATCCTCTTAAGGGCCACCTTCCATCCTGTTGTCCTACCTGTGCAGCCCCCACACAGATCATTCCAATCAATACCATCTTGGCTTCTAAGACTTGTTCTTTCTTCTTAGCCATCATTTATATACCTATAATGTCTCTCTTGGTCACTCTACCAAGTTCCCTACCTGTTCCCCAGCAGCTCTTTCTTTCCTATTCTCCCTGATTCAACATAGTCGTTCCTCTCCTTTGATAGGCAAGAGATGATTGGAGAGGAACCGCTGGACCGTCTGCTAGGGATGAGGCCCACAGATCTCCAAATCCTTACTTCTCAAGTGGAGCAGCGACTGAATGAAAACTTGACCTTATCAAAAGGAGATAAAAAGTCTTATTTTTCTTTAGATGTCTCAAGGGTTTCTGAAAGTAGATCTGATTCCATACAACCACTTGAAGAATCTGAAGGCAGGCCCAGCAAAGGCCAAAAACGCCTCCGGGGCAAAAAACATGGTATGTATGGGTTGATCCGCTCCATACCTCAGGTTCCTCAAGAGGTTAGTTAGGGCTAAAGTGTATCAAGAAATACTAGGTGGGAAGAGAAGTAAGTATGATAAGAAGAGCTTATCATAGAAGAGAATTTTCCCAGGGAAGGATCCACCCAAACTCGGGAAGACCTCAAACCCTATCTCTCTAGAACTGGGGAGGATCTGGAAATACTGAAAGGAGAATTTTTTTTTTAATTAAAAAAAGGAGGCTGGCGGATGGCTCAAGTGTTAGAGCACCTGCCTAGCAAGTGTGAGGCCCTGAGCTTAAGCCCCAGTACTCAAAAATAAATAAATAAAGGCAGAGCCCATGCTGTTGCTGCTTTTTTATAGCAGTTCCTCTTCACTTAGCCTCCCATGCTTTCCTTACCTCCATCTCCTGATTTTTTTCCTGCAGCCCGAAAATGGTTACGAGTTCTCAAAAAGATTAAAGAGGGAGCAGCTAAGCGGATGAGCACAGGGCCAGAGGATGAAAGTGATCAGAGTGAAGCTGCAGCAGGTGAGATGGAGGATTTAGCCATCTACTCCAGAAGGTCTTCAATAAGCATAAAGAGCTCAAGAGATGCTGATACTTTAGAGAAAGATGTCTCAAAGGAGCACATTGTTGAGGACCTGAAATTGCGGAGGAAAACATATGACAAAAAAGGCAAGAAATCCAAAAAGGGGCCCAAGAAGAAAAAAAAAGAAGAAATTTTAATCAAGGAAACTTTGCCTCCTGTAGTGAAAAAACCAGTTAGGGAAAAGGTTACCCGGCGGGGTGCTGCTGGTGCGCCTGGCCACAAGACTAAAGATGCCACATGGCGAAATGATCTATGTCGTCTGATGACCCTGAGGATATCTGGCTCCCATACAAAAATGTCAAAAGATCTAAACACTGAGCTAGTGACTATGGCTCAGGAGATGTTGGCAGATCGGCACCCCAGCTGGGAACTTTTTCAGGAGATCTGCCCTGTATTGAAGAAAGAAAGCAAGGATATGTTTGAGGATGCTGACTGGGATGTAGCCTGGCCAGAGGAGAAACCAATTTTTATCCATGAAGAAACAATTAGAGAAGACATGGTGATCACAGTTGAGGAAGAGATACCAGAGAGGCAAGAACAAGAGCAAAAAGATGTGCAGGACTTGGAGGAAGTGATTCCAAAAAAAGGCAAGAAAAAGAAAGTTATTTTTTTAGAAACAAGTGACCAACCCAAAGGAAAACAAAAGTCAAAGAAAGAGGAGAAGAAATTTCCTAAGAAGGTATCTAAGCAAGAGAGGAAAGCAGTCCAGGAGAAAATGAAACTAGATGAAGAAGAGAGAGAAATTACCAAGGAAGAGAGGGATAGGAGTGAGAAAGTAGAGGAAATAGCCAAACTAAAGGAGAAAGTAGTTGAACCAGAAGTACAACCAGTTAGCATTGACAGGAAACTATCTTTTAGGGAATGGAAAACAGCCTGGGATCAGTGGAGACAGGCTCATGATGAGACAGGGATATCCTGGGATGAATGGAAGAACGACTGGGACAGGAAGCATCTTCAGGAAGAGGAAAGACTATACCAGGCTGAAAAGGAGCTATTCCCAGACAAGGAAGTGCAGGAATGGGAGAAGCAGCTGAAATGGGATGAGTGGAAAGAAGTATGGGAAAATATGTTGGCATCCAAGTCCAAAGATGAGAAAGAACTGACTCTGGAGGCAGAAATGTTCTGGAAGTGGAAGGGAGTGTCTGAGAAGTGGGAAGAAGGAGGAGGAAGAGGAGAAGAAGGAGGAGGAGAAGAAGGAGAAGAAAAAGAAGAAGAAGAGGAAGAAGAAGAAAAAGAAGTGCTACTCACACAAGAGCAGAGACAGATTCAGGAAGAACAGAAACAGGCCAAGATACAGAGGAAAAAAGCTCAATCTGAAAGAAAGCGAGCCAAAGCAGAGAGGAAACTAGCACAAGAAGAAGCAAAACTTGCACAAGAAGAGAAAACTCTGGCCCAGGAAGAGAGAAAACTGGCCCAAGAATATGTGAAAATGACCCCAAAATATGGAAAAATGGCTGAGGCATGGAGGAAATTTTCCTTGAAAGAGGAAAAACTGGCCCACGGAGAGGAGAAGCTAAGCTATGAAGCAGAGCAATTGGCCCAGAAAAAAAAGAAGTTGGCCGAGAAATTAGAGAAAATGGCTGGAGAAGAGGAGAAACTAGCAAAGAAAGGAGAGAAATTGAATGAAGTAAAAACAACATTGCCCCAGAAACTACAAACACTAACCCAGAAGGAACAAAATCTGGAATGGCAAGAAAGAGAGATAGCTAAAGAACTAGAAGAAATGGAATTGGACATGAAGAAACTGGCTTGGAAAGAAGATGAATTGAATTTGGAAGAACACAAAGCAGTTGAGGAAGAAGAGGAAATGACTCAGAGAGAAAAGACACTGGCTTGGCAAGAGGAGAATCTGGCTAAGACAGAGAAAAAAATGGCCTGGGAAGAAGAGCTGCAGCTCCAGGAAGAGTATAAACTGGCCCAGAACAAGGCAAACATGGACTCTAGAATGGTAGCTCTGGAAACGAAAAGACTGGCTCAGAAAAGGGAGAAAATGATGGAAAACAAAGAGAAACTGATCCAGGAAAGGGAAAAACTGGTCCAGAACAAGGAAGAACTCAAAGAAAACAAGAAGAGACTAGCTGAGAAGAAAGAGAACCTGGCTCAGGAAAGGAAGAATCTGGCTCAGGAAAAGAAAAAATTGATTCAAAGAAAAGAGGCTCTCCAGAAAGTCAAAGAAAAACTCCTCACAGAGAAAGACAAATTAATTCAAATAAAGAAGAAACTGGAGATGTACAAGGAGAAACTGACTCAAGTAGAGAACAAGCTGAACCAGGAAAAGACAGTAGTTATCCAGAAGAAGGAAGATTTGGTTGGTATAGAGAAGAAATTGGCCCAAGCAGATAAAATTCTGGCTGAAAAACAAACAAAATTGGCTCAGGAAAAAATGGAATTAGTTGCAGAGAAGAAGGCAGTGTTCCAAGAAATGCAGCTGCTCAGAGGAGAGCAGGATATTACTAAGGAAAGAGAGGCACTGAACATAGCAATGAAAAATTTGGTCCAAGAGAAAATAAGGCTGGCTGAGGAGATGGAAATTCTCTCCAAGGAAGGGATTCAAGAAATCTCAAAAGAGAGAAAATTGACTGATTATGAAATAGACCAAATCAAAAAGAAACTGTCACGAGAGGAGAAGATACTCACCTATGAAGACAGGCTGCTGGCCATGGAGGACAGGGATATTGCCAAAGAAAAGCTGGAACTAACTAGAGGACAGAGAATATTTGCCCAAGAAGAAAGGAAGTTAGCCAAGGCAAAGAGGAAGTTAGTTAAAGAAAAGCAGGATGTTTACAAGGAGTCAACAAAAACGGGCAGAGTTTTAAAGACACTTCAAAAACTAATCAATGATGAAAGGAAAGTAACCCAGGAAGAAATAAAGATGACAAAGATAAATGGGACAATCTTTGCTATGGAGAGAAGACTGAGCAAGGAACAGGACAGACTTGATGTCAAAGAGTGGGATTTTTCTGAGGAACAATCAGAAATGACCAAAGATGAGAAAAAACTGACCAAGAAGCAGAGAAAACTAGCCCATGAAATAAAAAAAATGATAAGCCTGGAGGAAAAAATAGCTGAGGAGGAAAGTAGATTGACCAGGGAACAAAGAGAAGTTATACAGGCTATAGAGGAGGAAGGAGTTGAAGAGGAAGGAGTAGAAGAGGAAGAAGAGAAAATCCCATTTTTTAAAGAAAAATGGAGAAAGAGAAAACAGTTGAAGAGAGTTGATACCCGAAAAGGAAAGTTTTACAGTCAAGTGGATGAGGTGGAAAGTGAAGAGACCTTTTCTAAAGAAATAGAAAGCCTACTAGATAAAGTAGGGCAAGACAGTTTGTCTGAGGAGGAAGAGGAAGAAGAGGAAGAGGAGGAAGAGGAAGAGGAGGAAGAGGAAGAGAGGAAGAGGAGGAAGAGGAAGAGGAGGAGGAAGAGGAGGAAAAGGAGGAAGAGGAGAAGGATGTACTGGAGAAGAAAGAGAAGAGGAAGGAGAAGAAAAAGAAAAGGATGAAGAAAAAGAAGAAAGTGAAGGAGGAGGAAGAGGAGGAAGAAGAGAAGGACATGGAGGAGGAGAAGAAAAGAAAAAGAAGAAAGTGCAGGAGAAGGAAGAGGAGGAAGAAGAAGAGGAGAAGGACATGGAAAGGAGAAGAAAGAGAAGAGGAAGGAGAAGAAAAAGAAAAAGATGAAGAAAAAGAAGAAAGTACAGGAGGAGGAGGAGGAAAAGGACATGGAGGAGGAGGAGAAAGAGAAGAGGAAGATGAAAAAATTAAAAAAGAAGAAAGTACAGGAGGAGGAAGAAGACGACATGGAGAAGAAAGAGAAGAGGAAAGAGAAGAAAAAGAAGAAAGTACAGGAGGAGGACATGGAGGAGGAGGAGGACATGGAGGAGGAGGAGGAGGACATGGAGGAGGAGGAAAAAGAGAGAAGGGAGAAGAAAAAGATAAAGAAAAAGAAGAAAGTACAGGAGGAGGAAAAGGAGGAAGAAGAGGAGGACATGGAGAAGAAAGAGAAGAGGAAGGAGAAAAAGAAAGTACAGGAAGAAAAAGAAGAGGAAGAAGAGGAGGAGGACATGGAGGAGAAGAAAGAGAAGAGGAAGGAGAAGAAAAAGAAGAAAGTACAGGAGGAGGAAGAAGAGGAAG